CCTGGCTGAGTTCTAGGACTTGGCTCGGATGCCACCTCCTTCGGAAAGCTCTCCCGGAGCACCCAGGGGCGGCAGATCCCCTCCATGCACATGCACTCCTGTGGGGAGCAGATGGTTGGCTGTTTCCTTCTCTGCCTCTTAGTTTACACAAGCTTCATAAGGTCTGAGACTGGGTTATTCACTGGTGTGTTTGCAGCTTCTAGCTCAGGGTCTAATCCATAAAAGTTGTGCTCTGCACATGCATTGTTGAATGAATGAATGAATGAATGAATGAATAAACAATCCCGATTCCGCAGTTCCAAACTATGCCGCCACCTGAGGGTGCTGTGGACTGAGAAAGCTTGGGGTCCTCTGCCCTAATCCCTTCACCATTCTTCCTCACAGACCCAGGCTGTCTCACCTTGGGACTGGATTGTGCCACGGTGGCAGCAGGACCCCGCTTAGGAGTGTCCTTGGTCAGGAAGGGCCGGGGCAACCCCAGCCAGCAGTGAAGGAGGACAGTCGACAGCAGGGATCTGTGGCTCACGGGAGGTCAGTGGGTCCAGGGCAGCCCTGGGAGGACTGGGGAGAGGGAAAGGAGGGAAGGGGAGAAAGGCTGGCTCAGACTCCCCTGGGGCTCACAGAGCAGGTGCCTCGCTCCTCGAACACTAGAGCAGGGCAGAGCCTCGGGTGCCAGGAAGAAGTCCCACGGAGTGGGCACAGGCCAGAGCAGGCCTCTCTGTGCTCTTCGTTCTGGACCCGGATGTGGCCCCAAGCCTGGCTGGCACCTCAGTTGCTGGTACCCTAGGTCTGCACAGCGGGGAGCCAGGCAGCCCCTCCTGGTGGGTGGGCTCGCCTGCCTTCCCCTGAGCCTGCCTCCACTCTGCAGGACTTGTGACTGCCGACCACACCCTGACTTTCTTCACTCAGGACCTCTAATTAGGGTGACCATGTGGTGGACATTGTGTGCCGAGCACCGTCCCCAGTGTCCCTTCGTAGCACAGAGTCCACATGATCTCAGTCACGGAGCCAACATCGATGCTGCTGGGACTCTGATCGTCCCTCACAGGCTAAGAAACTCAGTCTCCAGGGCTACACATCTGACCGCGCCGGGCTTGACTGACACTATGGCTCAGGGCTGCTTCTCCAGCTCCACCCATCCCCAGAAATCAGGGCCTCTTGCAAAATCCGGGGCCATCTTGTTCCCTGCCTCAGGCTCTTGGAACTCCACAGGCCACCCTCTGTGGCTTTTTGCCAGGACAGAGCTCCTCTCCAGCCTGTCCTGTGCCCAGACCAAGATGAACAGACTGGCCAGCCCTGCTCGAAGCCTGGGCTGTAGCTACCATATGTCTCTACCACTTCAGGACACAGAGCCATTTTCCTGGAGATTCCGGCCTTGCCTTTTTCTGTCAAGGCCACCCAGAGTAGCAGGAATCTCTAAAAGGAGGGCTGAACCTCCTTTTTCCCAAAAAAGAAGGAGACTCCTCACGCTTAGCTCCAGTCCTTGTTATTAAGAGGAGGTCTGGACACTTAGTTCACTGGCTGTGTGACCTCAGCAGTTGACTCAACCTCTCTGAGCCTTGGTTTGCGTAGTTGTGAAGTAAAGATGGTAAATCTAACTCAGAGGGCTGTTGCTAGGGTTAAAAGAGGCCACGTGCAGAAAGCCCCAGAGCAGTCCTGCAGTTAGTAGGTGCTCAATCAATGGAAGCTCTCATTGCTGTGATTGTGGACTTTGTCCCCTCTGCCTCCCTCACGAGATTCTGGTCCTCCTGGCCCAGGCATCGGCTCTCTCCTTGGCATCTCTCTCCTTTCCCTTTTTAAGGGCATTTCTGCTGCTCCCAGCTGCACAGTCAACTCCAGTTCAGACCCTCTCGGAGTCCTGAGATCCTGCCAGCAGTCAGGGCCCGGCCAACCCAACCCTCTGCTGACATTCCTGATAGCTGTAGTCAAGGGTCTGCCCGGAGTCGGTCTGGGTGTGTCTGCGCCCGAGAGGGAGGGGCGACCGGAGCAGAGCGGCAGCTGTTTTGTTGTCAGCAGTCACCCCGGGGGTGAGGCCAGGGCACAGCCTGTCCAGGCCAAGAACAGGAAACAGGTGGACTTTGCTGAGGTCCAGATGGGGATGGGACGAGAGGAGGCCCATGTCTGGGCATCGGGAGGCGCAGGGTGGAATGAAAAGGTCTCACTTCTGCGTTCCCAGGCTGGGGAGCCCGGAGGCCCTCAGCTGGGTTTCGGGTTGCCTTGGGACAAGGCAGTCAACTGACTCATGCAATCGAAAATTGTTTAGTCACTGTGCACCTCTCTGTCGGGGTGCAGGATAAGTTGCTATAACAAAAAGACCCAAAAAGCGGTAGAGCAAACGAAACAGGACTTTAATTCTCTCTTTCATCGCAGTCCGACAGGGCGGCTCTGCCTCGTGTGGTTGTTTGTGAATGTGGTTTTCTTCCATCTTGTGCTCCTACTATCCCCGAAGACAGACGTTCTAAACCTGGGGTGTTCTAAACGGCCTAGATGTTTTAAACAGGGCTGGCCAGAAGCCAGGGGCTCTCTGAATCTGCATGGAAAACAATTACATCTTGGTTTCCACCAAGGTCTATCTGAAAATCAGCATTTCCTTCCAGTACGAGAGCAGGCTACAAACACAGGAGTACTGGCAGGACCTGTGGCTTCATCTCCAGTAGAAATCACAGATATTTTCATATCACGTTTAGTTGTTGCAGATATTGTGAAATACTATTTATTCTCATTACCAGTACTTTGAGAGCAGGGTAGTTGTTAGAGCCATTGCTAGATTGTTCCTTGATGCATTAATAAGAAGCATGTATGTACTGTTAGATCATAGTTCTTTAATATTTTTATAATATTTCGATATAGTCATTTCCCTTGGTAATCTCGTGATTTTCTTCCATGAATTTAAGGATGTTATTTTGAGAAAAGTTCATAAGCGTCTCCAAATAGCCACGGGTCCCAGCCCATCCTTCTGCTGTGCCCTGGATCCCAACCCGACTCAAGCCCATCACTCCAGTGATCGTCTTATTCTTCTCCTGCCTCAGTCCCCCTCTCCGTCGAGTCACTGCCGTCGACCTGTAGATACATCAATATTTCCCCACTGTCAGAAGCCTTCTCCTGACCCTGCCTCCCTCACCAGCTCTTGTCCTGTTCTTTGTCCCCCTTCATAGCAAACCCCCCCAGGAGAGTGGTCTACACTTGCTGACCGCAGTGCCTCTCCTCGTCTTTTCTCTTAGACCCACTCCACTCAGCCCACCGGTGACCACTCCTTCCATCTGCATGAGCCGGCAGCAGCAGTGGACCAGATGCCCGCTCCCTGGAAACCCCATCTGTCTTGGCTTCCGGACACCATGCTCTCCTGGTTTCCCCCTGACCTCCCTGGTTGCTCCTTCTGAGTTTCATCTCCCTGACCTACGCACTGGCAAGCCCCAGAGGTCAGGCCTCAGCCCACTTCTCCACGTCTCGGTGATCTCATTCAGTCTCATGGCCTTGAATATCAACCAGATATGACGACTCCCAATTTTATTTCTCCAAGTGGGGGACCTTGCCCCCACTTCCAGTCTCATGTACCCAATTGTTTACCTGACTTCAAGAAACATCTCAAGTTTAACATGTCCGAACCAAAGATCCTGATCTTATCCCCAAAAGCTTCTCCTCCCCCGGGCGTTCCCATCTTCTGGCTACTTAGGCCAGAGACCTTGGAGTCAGCCTCGCTCCATCCTCTCTCCCTTTGTCTTCAAAATCACTCAGAAATGGGCCACGTCTCACCCCTCCACAGCCACCCGCCTCCTCGTCTGTGTTGCGATCATCTCTCACCCGGATTCTTGAAATAGTCTCTGACTGGTCTCTCTGATTCCAGCCTCGCCTTCTACAGTTTATCCTCAGCTTGGAAAACAGAGGCGTACTTCTAAAACGGAAGTCAGATCGGGTCACTCTGCTCACCACCGTCCAATGGCTCAGCTCCCCATCTCTCCCTGGGCGAAGTCTAAATTCTCCACAATGGCCCCCGTCTGGCCCCTGTCACTTTGCTGACCCTGCTCTCCTGCTCTCCCTCGCTCGCTTCCAGCAGGCCTTCCTGCTGTTCCTCGCACTCTTCGGGGCTTTGCACTGGAAGGCCCTTCCCCGGATGGCCACATGGTTCACTCCCTTTCCTTTTCCAAGGCTTTCTCGAATGTCACTTTCCCCGTGAGGCCCTCCCACACAACCCACTTCCCCCAGCACACCTGATCTCCTCTCCTGCTTTATTTTTCTCCACAGTCCTGATCACCATCTGTTAGCTATAATATTATTATTTATTTCGTTATGGTCTTTTTCCCCTCAATAGTATGTAGGGTTCTTAGGGGCAGGGATATTTGTCAATTTTGTTCACTTTTGGTTCCTAGAGTTGAAAGGGTAACTAACTAATAAACTGTTGTTAAATATATGAATTGACTAGCCTCTTCTACAGCCCCATTTCAGGCCTATAGGAAGGTTTGTTTCTTGGCTTCCTTCTGCTCCCTAGAAACTTTCCCTGAAACATTAAACTAGGTCTGGGAACCCATGAGTAGGAGCATGAAACAGATTAGTTTGTGGAGACCAAAGGCACAAAACAGAGAAGGTGGAGTGTGTACATTTAGTCAACAAGCATTTATTGAGTGGCAAAGATGAATGAGCTCTGTCTCTGAGCTTGAGAAAAGCTGGCATTACAGTGGGATAGATGGGTAATTAGTGCTTACAGTGCCACGCTTTCACAGGGTAAGCCCTGAATCCGAGGGGCGAGCCTGATGACAGTCTCTACCAGTCAGGGACAGCAGGGGTTGCTTTGGATAGGAGAATAAGAGCTACCATTTGTTAAGCAGTTGTGATGTGCTGCTGTGGCATTATAAGAAATCTGTTTGGTCATTGTCCCAGGTTCTTGGCACAGAACATCTAAAACCCTTATTATCTCCTGAGTGACAGGGGTGATAGAAGTATCTTTTGTTGTAATATTTGGTCTTTGACCCCAATTCCTGACAAAGAGTTCCTAAAACCCTCGTAGTTTCCTGAGCGACGGGAGTGATAGGAGTGTCTTACACAGAGCTCCTAAATCCTTTGGAATTTCCTGGTTTACAGGAGTGTCCTTTATTTTAATGAGGTGACTCTTGATGGGCTCCTGGATGGGGGCTGGTCACCAGAAAGAACAAGCATGACTGAGACCTTGGAACTTTCAGCCCCATCCCTCTTCCTCTGGAGATGGGAGAGGGCCTGGAGATTGAATTGATAATTGATCATGCGTACATAATGAAGCCTCTGTAGAAATTCCTGAAGTACGGGGTTTGGGAAGCTTCTGGGTTGGTGCTCATGTGGAGGTGCTGGGAGAGTGGTGTACCCTGAGATGGCATGGAAGCTCTGCGCCCCTTCTTCCATCCTTTTATTATATAATAAGCTGGTAAATATAATTATGCGTTTTCTCAAGTTCTGAGAGCCATTTTAGAAAGTTATCAAACTTGAGGAGAGGGTTGTGGGAGGCCCCCAACTTATAGGCGGTTGTTCAGAAGTTCAAGTGACAACCTGGGGCTTGGGACTGGCATCTGAAGTAGGGGGCAGTCTTGTGGGACCGAGGCCTCAAGATATGGGGTCTGTGCTAACACCAGGCAGTTAGCATCAGAAGACAATTGTAGGACACCCAGTTGGTGTCCGGACAGTTGGAGAATTGCTGACAGTTGGAAAACTGTCCAGACAGTTGAAAAAAATCTCCACACATTTGATGTCAGTATTCTGTGTGTAGAAGAAATGTAATTTTTTCCTTCTAGCCACTCTAAATGCTTTCCCTGTATTAATTTACTAATCTTAACAATAAACCATGAGACAGATAGATGCTCAGAGGTACAGAGAGACCTAAGGATCTGCTCACGTTCTCACAGCTGCACAAGGGCATAGCTGTCCTCGAACCCAGCAGTCTAGCTTCAGAACATGGGCCCTCTGTCTCCCCGCTGCATCTGCCTCCCCTGTGTGACTCTTGAAGTTTTATTGGCCACCAATGGCTCCTGGTTTTCCTCTGTGCCCCCAGAATGGATTGTCCCGCTGTGGCCTTCATTTCCCCAGGACTTTAATTCATTCTCATCTGCCTCCTTTGGGAGGTTGGGGCTTCCCGAGCCCTGCCCCAGGCAACTCACATGCCCCGTGGCTGACTGCACGGAAAGAGGCAGACGTTGCCACCACCCCCAGCTGGCAGCGCCTGCCACAGCCCAGCTCACAGAGGGCGGGGGCGAAGCAATTACCCGGAAAAGGCAGGCGAAACTCCCACGGAGCCACAGGCCTTTTTTTTTTTTTTTGACTCTGATGTGACAGTGTGGTGGCAGGAATCTTAACCAGTCTCATTTCCCAGCTCCCATAACAACCCAGTCCCTGAGAACCTGCCCCCGAGAGCTCAGAACATCAGTTTGCACCATGTGAAAATGAGAGCGAAACCCCTGGGAGTCAGACCTAACGCAGCGTGTGCAAAGCGAAAGCAGCCAGCGTCCCCTCGGCCCTTCCTTCTTACGTCTGCAAGACGCCCAGATTTCAGAGCTCCCAGAAAAAGACCTGAGGTAACTGCCTAGTCCCTGGACCCTTCCAAAGCGGTCATGGTTTGAAAAAGTCAAAGCGTTTAACAATATTGTCTCTCATGCTGCATTTGGGGACAAACATGGCTTCCCTCATTTCCTACACCCTAACCCCACAGGGATGCAGCTGACTGGAAGAGAGAACAAAAAGAAACTGGATAGAAATAACCGGAATTCCTCGCATGGGCACGGCATCCTGCCACTTAGAGCGTGCCATTAACCCCTTATGCATTTTGTAGATGGGACCCCATGGGGGCGAGAGAGATTCATGACTTCTCATGGTCACTGGGCTGATAAATGGCAGAGTGAAGACTTGAAACTGATAAGCGATGCATGTGGAGACAGAGCCCTGACCCCGTGACCCCCAGGACAGGGGGAAAGCAGAGCCCCGGAGGCGGCATAGTTGACAATTGCTAGGTTTAATGTGGCAATTTACTGTGGATGGGGGTTGCTGCATGTTTAGACTCTAGCCATGGGTTATGTTTGGTCCAAGACTATGGACCTGGAGGGTGGTGTCCAAACCCCGCATCGGGCAGGGATCCAAACTCCGCTGTCTCCAGGCAGCAGCTGTCCAGCAGTCATATATATTTGGCCTTAAAGTATCCTTTAAAATGCGAATCTTTTGCTAACATTTAAAAATCAGGAGAATCCACATAGGAATTGGTATTTCTGGCATCTCTTAAAAATGTGAAGATTGGGCATGACTAGGCTTGCTGCCCCAGGAGCTGAGCTGCGTTGCTCCCCGCCGCCCCCCCCCCCCCCCGAAGGTGTGTGTGGTCTTTCCGTGTAACCCAGTCCACGGCCATTCCCGACCGCTCGCCTCCGCGGCGCCACCAGCCCGGCCCCTGTAGGCACTGGGGGTTTTGACTCTTGCTACAGAACAAAACCTCTTAACATTTTTAAGGTCACGAATAGAACTCAGGGGGTCTAAGAACTTGGATGGGTAAAAATTACATATTTCCACTAACCTCTACCTAAAACTGACCATTTCCTTCTATTATGAGTATAGGCAGTGACCACGCTAGTAATGGAATCTGTGACTTTGTCACCAGAAGGAAGCACAGACGTGTTCACATCACATTGGACTTTTGCATATAGCTCCAAATGTCGTTTGTGCTCATCACCGCTCTAAAATCACGGCCTGTTGCTAGATCTTGTTCTTTAATACATTTGATAATGAAGCACATGTATTGTGATTTTAAAAGTTTGGTTTTACAAATATACCTTGATAACTATTTTTCAGTGTAATTGGTTTCATTGTTAATCTCACGTATTTCATTTTACGTATTTATTCTGAGAAAAGGTCCGTGGGCTTCACCAGCCTTCCAAAGGTGCCCAAAGCACAAAATTAGACTCATATCTTCAAAATATGGTTGTCAGATCCCATGGGGTGTGGAAGGTAGTTCTAGAACTTTCTGGAAAAGTGGGGCAGGAGAGGCACTGCCCTGCCCCACCCAGTTCCACCTGGGGCTTCACACTGGCCCCAGGGCATGGGGCCCACGGATGCCTGCTGGAGCCCTGTGGACACTTGGCGTCTGGGCAGGAGGCTGGGCTGGTTCTGCATCCAGTGGCCTGAGGCCTAGCTCTCCAGGCGGTACTTGGAGAGAAAGCTGAGCACCCAGGCCCTCGCCTAGATGCCCCGTGGGAGCCACAAGCTGCTTTGCGGTGCGGGTCGCGTCTCCCACCTTTCACTGACTGAGCCGCGTGGGTGCTGACTCATCCTCGGACTCTCCCTGTCCAGCCAGGTTCATGCCTGCGGCACGCCCTCCTTGTTGCAACACCGCGTCTTCCCAGGCTCTTCCCAGGGGCCTGCAAACCCGGGCTCGGCTCCCTCGTCCCCGCGGTTTCTGCTGCCGTGTCCCTGCCGCCCGCCCCGCCTAGCAACCACTCTTCTCCCTCCTTGCCAGGACGGAAATGCGTGGTCTCCTCCAGTTTCCTCATAAATCCTGGAAGCGCCCACTCAGCCTCCGCTTCATCCTCCAATTCCTATGCGGTTTGCTAAAATCGCCCTGCTGAAGGTCAGCAGAGCTGGTCCTCCCAGGATAGGCGGCTCTGGGCCTCACTCCCACTCCAGCCAGCAGCTCCTGATTGCACCGGCAGCCACCTCTCCCCCGGTGGACGTGCGGCTCCCTCGGTTTCCATGACACTGCACTTTCCCACGTCTCTGGGTTTCTGACAGCTTGTTTCCTAGCTGGCATGGCCTTCTCCTGGCTTCTCCCCGTGGGCGTGCCTTTGGCTGTCTCCTCCTGTGGTGTGTGCCTGATGCTCCCTTGGAGGGCTCATCTGCCTGGGGCTTTGCACCACCTCCTACCACTGCTGCCTCCCTGGCCTCTGGCCACCCATTGTTTCTAATCCCACATGGCCAGGGGTTACAGAAACTCTTGGCCCCACCCCCACCCCCACCCCATGAACTGTATCCTAAATCACAGGATATCAGACTGTTGGGCCCCAGAGGAGATGTTCAAGCATAGGCTGGCCAGCGAACCACTTACCTGGTGGAATGTCGCTCTGGAGACTTAAACATGCCCCCTGCACCTGCATCACTGCAGGTCTGTGAGAGGCAATCTAGTGTACAGCTACCGGTGTCAGGCTGTGTAAACACACTGCTCAAGTTCAAATCCTGCCTCTGCTACTTGCTGCTGTGACCTCGGGCAAGTTTATTTATTTGTTCATCCATTTATTTAGCAAAAATTAATTAAGCCTCTACTGTGTGCCAGACTCTGCTGAAAATCCAAATGGAAAAACAAAGCGGCTCCCTTCACTCTTGAAGTTTAGTTAGAGTCATAGCATTAATCAGATGCTATCCAAACAAATACTAAATTGTGACTGTGACAAGCAATGAGAGGAAGAGGCACCGGATGCTGTGAGACCCCATCACCACACGGTCTTATCAGGGAGGTCGGGCTTCCTCCAGAACATGACCTTTAAGCTCAGATCTGAAGGATGAGTGTGGGGTTACAAGGTGTGACAGGCTGAACACTGGCCTGCAAAGATGTCCACATCCCAATCCCCAGAATCTATGAATGTTACCTTACAAAGCAAAAAAGACATAATTCAGTAAAGAATCTTGAAATGGGAGATATCCTGGATTATCTGGGTGTGCACAGTGTGATCACAGGGGTCCTTATGAGAAGGAGGCAGGAGGGTCAGAGTCAGAGATGTGACAATGGAAGCAGAGAGCAGAGCGACAGCATTGCTGGAAGGAGGCCACGTGCCGGAGAAGCCTCTAGCAGCTGGAAAAGGCAAGGAAGTGGATTCTCCCCTAGAGCCTCCAGCAGGTGCAAAGCCTTGCTGACTCATTTTGGAATTCGGACCCCCAGAAGTATAAGAGAATGAATTTATTTTGCTTGAAGCCACTAAATTTGTGGTAATTTGTTATACCGGCCATAAAAAAGCTAACACACAGGAGAAGATTGGAAGAGTACGTGCTAAGGCCAGGATGGGGCATGGGTACCTGTGATCTAAAGAGAGGTGTGGCTGGAGTGTACGTGTGTATGTCCGGGTGTGGGTGGGGTGGGGAGCAGTGAGGCTGGACAGCTGGGCAGGGGCCAGACCATGGTCGATAAGAAGCTATTTCAAGCAGCTGTTGATTGACTGACTGATTGATTGATTGACTGATTAATGTTATTAATCCCTCTAAGCCTCCAGATTCCTCACTGGTAAAATGATGACTTCATAGGGTTGTTGAGAAAACTAAATGAGATAGCATACATAATGAGCATAGCTCTTAGTAAATTCTCATTTATGTCAAATCCTATTCTGATCCTGTAGTTTTCTGGAAAGCCCTGGGAATTCTGTGAGGCTTCTCTGGGCTGTTGAGGAGGGGGAGGGAAGGGGGACCAAGAGGTCACGGTTCTGCCCTCAATCAACTGAGCTTGTATTTGTTTGCACATTGCATTTGGCTTGAGGTCATGTTTGCATGAAAGTTTCTTCAGCTAAAACATAGTTTGCGAACCACTGCTCCAGCCCGCCTCTGCTTCTGCTGGTAAGGAAACTCTGGCCTGAAAGGGCCACCACAACTCACGTCGCGTCAGAGCCAGCTGGAGAACCCAGTTCTCCGACCTAAATGCCTGCGACGAATGTGGTCCCGTGGTCTGGGCCCTGGGCTCAGATAGGGGGCTTCGTAACATGGAGTCCATTTTCCTTCATAGCACTTCCTGTGATCTGTGTTATATGTTTACTCGAATCTTTCTCTGTTTAGTGTCAGTCTTCTTCACAGGACACCAAGGTCCACGGGGGCAGGAATCTGGTGTGTTGTTAACCACAGTATCTCCAAGGCCTGACACTGTGTCTGGCACATGATAATAACAGGAAACACATGGAAAATGCTCGCTCTGTCCTGGGCACCCTGTCACGTCCTCTGCACACATTTACATATTTAATCCTCATCTGCATAGTCAGCTCTCAAGACATGTGTTGAATTAATGGCTTTGCATCACTAATACGCCTGGGTGAGTTTCTTAGTCTCTTTGAACCATGGTGTCCTTGTCTATGAAATGGGGAATAACAACATGGACGGTAGAGATGGTGAGGGTGAAATGATGCCATCCGACTTTGGGCCTGGCCGCAGCAGGCACTCAGGACAGGGCAGCCATTATAATGACCTCATTGCATTGCATGCCACATTGCTCTGGTTCCAGCAGCCCAGTCTTGACGGGGTCGCTGCCACAATCTCGTCCCCCGGGCTGCAATGGATTCCTTCCCTCGTTAGCCAAGGCACTCCTGTGAAGTCCCTGTGAAGTTTCTCCTACTCATTCCTTGTCCTCTTTCCCGCCTGGGCCCGGACCAGCTCATCCACCTTTCCGGGCTCCAGTCCCCTGCATTCCGTCGACACTGCAGGCAGCGGCTTTCTCCTGCACTTCGTCTCCACTGCCTCCTTCCCTCTCAGAGCCCCGACAAAGCCCCTACAGCCTACGTCATCCAGTGTGACCCTGCTGGGATCCTGAGGACCAGGGTAAATCCACACCCTGCCCAATCACAAACAGCCCTAGCAGGAGCCTCTACCTGTGTCCTGGCCCCACCTGCCAGCCTTTGCTCAGCCCTCCTTTGTACCCCTCCAGTACCCAGCGAGCCTCCACGGCTACAGGCCTCGCATGGTCTCTGTGTGTCTGTCTTTCACACGTCTAATGTAAATGCAGTGTATGTGTGAAAACCCTGAAAACAATGACTGGCTCCTGTTATTTTTGCTCTTAAGTAATTCTGGAATCTGTCTCTGTCACCGTACCCACTGCCGCCACCCTAAGTTGAGGCCGCCCGAGTCTCTCACCTGGACGATCACAAAATGTCAGTCAGTCTGTCTCCTGGGCCTTTTCCCCTCCCATTGGGCATTGGGTGATCTTCGAAAGCTCAGATGAGTATGGCACTCCCTTTCAAGAACTCCACTCCTATGGGAGCCCTTATGACGAGTTCCTACTACCTAATTGGATCTGGACACTCTGAATTGACTTGTAGTGGCTTGAATGGACTGGACTTTCCAACTGGTTGAAATACTCATCCTTCTGCCCAAGACTCTCCATTTCCTCTCCCCTCCACCCTTCTTCTATCTGCTGGCAAATTCTTGCTCATACCCAGATCTCAGCTGAGGTGCACTTCCCCGGAGAGGGCTCTCTGGCTCCCTGTAGTCCTGGCCCAGTGGCCTCCAGTGAGCTTATAGCACCCCATACGTTCCTGCTTTATTGTGGGGAATGCAACAAGGAACATGGCCTGTCTGTTACAGCTTCACTTGCCTGTCAGCTCTTTGAGGGCAGGGCCCCTGTCTCCACCACCCAGGATCCAAACGCCATGCCTGGCCCATAGTAGGTGCTGAATAAACAGCTGCTCAATTGATCTGAACTACTCCAGAAGCTCTGTAAGGCTACCCCATCTCTCTGCTTCTCCAAATCATACCCACTCTACCTGATAACAAAAACAAAGGCTGACATTTGTTGAGTGCTTATTATGTACCTGGCACTATATTAAGCACCCTCTATGTATTGCTTTTGTTTATTCATCAACAACCTCATGATGTAGGAACTATTTTATAGAAGCCGAGGCCTACAGAAGTGAAATACAGCTAGACAGGGGTAGAGCTGGATTGGAACTCAGCAAGTTGACTTCCTTCTCAACCCCAAAATGATACTGTCCTCCATGCCCACTTATTTCCCACCTTCTCCACGAAGCCCTCTCCTTCCTCTGACCCACGGGGTCTCTGTCTTCCCAGATCCTTCTGGCCACTTCATCTATACCTGTAGCTTCCTAATTGCACGCTA